ATTTGTGCTGGAAATGGCCCACCTTGATTAGCATACACATTGTAAGGAGAGTGATCACTTTACATAAGCTATTACCAGCAGGAGAGTGGGGTGGGGGGAGAGAAAACCTTTTGTAGTGATAATCACCCATTTTTTCATGGTTTGTGTGTATAAAAACGTCTTCTGTATTTTCCACAGTATGCATCCGATGAAGTGAGCTGTAGCTCACGAAAGCTTATGCTCAAATAAATTGGTTAGTAGCTAAGGAATAGCAATTATATTAGCATGCATAGAGGCAAGGAGCCAGAGCTTGATTGAAATAGGATATCCTAACTGAGATAATCCAGTTAAAGTAAATTTACCTACAACTGCCAATATCATGGCTATTTCTTTTCAATGCGCTGCTAAATTAACCTAATCCTAGGAGAGTTACTGATGTCTGTATGACAGAATGCAAGCTGTGTATCTCTTTCACATACATCTATTTTACCAATGGATTGAAAACATGTGATGTAGAAGCACACAATTTCCCCAAGTTAGAATTTAAATTCTTACTTTTTAAAAGGTTAGATTTTTTTTTTAAAGTTTGTTTTACCTCTAACTTCTGAGAGTCTTTGCACAGCTCAGTTTTCAGTTCCTAGAGTTGTTGAAGATAGGTAGCTACATTATCATGTCAGACCTCATTATCTGTAGTGGATATTTGAGAGCCCATTCATCTGCTGAATAGAGACACTTCAAAAACCTGACATTTCCTTTTTTGCAGACATACTAGCTCAGAAGCTTTATCTTAAAAGCTGATTTGAAAGTAAAGTGAATCCAAATGTATTAGTTTTAAATGTGAAATATATAACTATTGTAGGACTTAAATCAGTTATTCTGGAAATGCAATAAAATGACTTGTTCACTAAGTAAATAGAAGCCAACTAAATATAAATATAAGATATATAAATAAACCAGACAGGAAGCTAATCAATCGCATATATAGCAGGTTTCCAATCATTGGAGAGTATATACTTCTGATTGTCTCACAATGAGCAACATTGTTACAATAGGTATTTAGTATTTTGCTGGTCTCAAGGATTTGGTAAAGCGATGTTAATTTTTGTGATTTCACAATTTTTTTGTCTTCCCATTCTTGTTTGAGATCTTTATAAAGATGTTCAAGAAAACCTTAAACACAGTTTTAAATGAAATCAGGGATCTTAATTCCTATCCAATAAGCAAACTGTTTAACATCCTACCTTCAAGAGTCTTTTCTCTCAACAATGTCAGGAAAAGTTATATGGTCTTCAAGGATTCACTAGGCTCTGGTTTTGGAGAGGTTTTAAAGAGACAGCAGCAACTTTAAAGTTACACTTCCATTTGTGACTGTGCGCACATTATTATTGTTAGAACAATAAATTTGTATTAAGACACCAAAACAAGAGGAGCTGTGAATGGTGTTGTTTATTACCAATATTTTAAGTTACTCACCTATTTCTGATTTAGTTATCATAATGTCTAGGTTTTATGAGAGAAACTTGGAACAAGAAAGGGAGACAGAGGTAATGCTAACTTTTAGCATATCTGCTGTAATATTGTCTTTCCTTTTGTTGAGTGCTGCCTGTCTATAAGAGCCCTAATAAATTCAAGGTAATTGCTCATGATATACAGGCATTCAAGTTCTATTCTATACCATGTGTGAGCGATCATTCTTTGCTTCTCTGTTATATCAGCGCTGGATTAAATTAGAATCCATATTTAAAAACAAGTTTTTTTTCCCTTAAGGTCTGCCAGCTTTTCCATGATAATCCTGTTTTTTTGTTAGTTTATTAATTAGCTATTTTAAAACCATTTCCTGTGGGAAACCTGCCTTGGCAAATATGCATGACCCTAATCCAGAATTATCACAGAGCTACTGTGTGCTGTAGAGTGTGAAAGATAAATCAAGAGTAGCACGTACATAATTCTGGGAGACCTGTCATATACCAATAAGGTAGCCTTGATACTGTGCACATTCATAAAGAACACTACAGTACTTAATGCTTGTGACAAAGAAGATTCTTCAGTAACTTCATTGGGGACTGTATGGCTCAGGGGCTTAGTGACAGATTGTAAACACTTCAATTTCTAGGATGGTTGCTGGACTCCAGACAGGTAGCGACTGAAGAGATTTACTATGTGTTTGCTATCGTGTGGCATATGTGAAAGGAATTTATGGTCTTTGTCCAGATCTCTGTAGACAGCCATACATGTCACAAAACCAGGCCTCTGTTATGCAGGAGGTCAGGCTTGATGATCATAATGACCCCTTATGACCTCACAATTTATTGAAAACCCACAATTCCAACTGGCACTCCCTGACATCCATGTTTGCAGAGAGGCCAAGGACCGAATATACATAAACTACCCTCTTGCCTTTATAAGTGTTAGGGTTGCTACAGCATGTCCATGAGATGGTTGGGAAAAACTTGAACCACCTGTACCTATGCTGTAGTTGCCTTGTGGATAGCAGAAGCCTTTATCTCCAGAGCTGGCTGCGTGGCAACTTCCACAAGAAATGCGCTCACTGAACATGGTAAAAACCCCACAACTTTTCATCCTTCCTCCTTTTCATTGGGTGTTACGTTCCTGTTGACTATTTTCAGGATTAAAGTACCTTCTTCAAAGGGCCTCTGGACTTGTGACTGCTACCAACTTTTCTGCAGCTCCTGCATCTGGTGCTAGTCATGTAAGTGGCAAAACAAGTAGGGGAAAAGACACTGATGGAGTCCATTGGCCCTCAAAGGAACAGCTGTACAGAGCGTGGTACAATGAGTTTGCATAGTGAGTGCGGTCTCTGTCCTGCAAGGTACTGAGGCCCAGATCCTCAAAGGTATTTAGGGTCTTAACTTCCACTGATTTTACCCTAACCCAAAATTGTCAGAGAGGTACTGTATAACTGTGCACAATACATCAAAGGGACACACTGATTTCAGTGGAAGTTAGGAGCTAAAATATCTAAATTGAGGATCAGGGCCTGAGTATCCAGTGATTTCAGGGGAGTGGGTCTAGCCTTATGTCTCAAAGTAAATCTGTGGGATCTGGAAAGAATGTAGCTAGAAGAACTGTAGATTCCCTTCATTATTCTTCTTGTCTCTCTGTGTGTGTGTGTGTGTGTATGTGTTCATTCGTCACTATGGCAAAAGACTACCTAGTTCAGCTGTATTCATGACTTTCATTTTGTAATCATTCTATCGGACTTCTTAAATTGCCTTATCCTGTAGTTAAGCCCTAACCCACTCAAATCAGGCTACATTCCAAAATAAGTGTTTGACCTCTTTGAATGCTAAATAACTGCAAAGGGTTCTGCAAAAAGAAAAGAGGACTTGTGGCACCTTAGAGACTAACAAATTTATTTGAGCCTAAGCTTTTGTGAGCTACAGCGATGAAGTGAGCTGTAGCTCATGAAAGCTTATGCTCAAATAAATTTGTTAGTCTCTAAGGTGCCACAAGTACTCCTTTTCTTTTTGTGGATACAGACTAACATGGCTGCTACTCTGAAACCTGTAAAGGGTTCTCTTTGCCCAGAACTGGCTAAACCAGCCTTAATCAGTATGTAGGTGTTGTCAGCAAAAGATACCAAACTTCCAAGAGATACTGGTAAATATAGATAGCCATCCAACCAAGGGGGCTTAATAACTGTATTCAAACCAATTCAGTAGGGACTGACTGGATTATTATGGATGCCACGTAAGGGAAACAACAGTTCTCCCCTTCCCCCAATGTCTCCAAGTCCTGCAGGAGAAAATCTTCTCAGAACAGGTTTTGATGTATATCCTGGCTTGTCCTAGAAAATGAAACCTTGTCAGCCAGTGGTCCATCCTGGCTCTCCTCATCTGGGAGTGTATACAGGCCAAACTGTTCTGATAACTCTATAGGAAGCGTGTTTGAAATGAGAGAGCAACAGCTTGAAAACTTTTCTTTCAGTGGCATCAACCTGGTTGTCAATATGCCTCACTTTAGCATCTGGTTTAGTTCACTGTGGAGACATCCTTTCAAGTCTACTCTAATTCCTGAAAGGCAATTGATCTAGCTTTGGGGTTACCGCTCCCCCCAGAGGCGGTAGTTTCCTGGCTCACTGTGAAGTTTTTCTCTCTTGTGGTTCAGCAAGGCAGCACTCGCCAAATGTTCAGTAGAATCCTGACACATGGTGTGCAAAGTTTTATCACCATCATAGCATTATTACATATTTTCTACTGGTTTTAAGCCCTGAGTGTCTGAGGTCGTCTCTTTGCAGGCTTTGGTCAATAAGTTCTCTAAGCCAGTTGAATTTTAAAGACGATGAGCTTTTGCCCACTTGGGCCCTAAGGCAGTGGCATCGTTAGGGAGTTTTGCTCTATTCTGTCTGGCTCTGCATGATGCAGTTTTACCCGCATTTTTACACAAGATTTTCATGGCAAACACTGTAAGGATTTAAGAGCCTATTGTGAGTTAGTTTGTGTACTAGTACTGATCAAAGTGTGTGTGAGTGTGTAATATATATGGATATTGTGTGTGTGTGTGTGTGTATACACACCCACACACATGTATAATCACTCTCTATAGCTAGATATATCATGCACTATTATATACAGCTATGTGTGTATATAGTTCTTTCATGTGCTGATCTGCTTGCAGAACGTTACAAGTGCTCGTCTTTGTTGGTCTTTAAACTCTGGTACCTTGTCTAGACCAGGAAAATTAGTACCCACTTTTTAACAAAAGTAGAGCTGCATTGTTGCTCCCGAAAGTGTAATCGCATACTATGGCAGGCTGTCATCACACACTTGTAAAAACACAAGAGCCCTATCTGTACTACAGCCTCCATTTTTACAACCCCTCATGAGAAATTACAGGTCCCAGTTTTCCACATAGTAGTCAAGGCTCTAGACGGGACCAAACCATTTTTCACACCGTTACACAAAGCGTGACTGAGAGCGGGTGAAACACAGAATACTCCATGACTGAGTTTGTTTTTTGATGAATTATTACCCAATAAAAAAAGGCAAGATTTCATATAGTGCTGATTTATTATTGGTAAGCTCTATATTGCACTCCAAATAGAGTACTGTGTACAGAAAACCAATCCTTTACATACAGAAACCCAGAAATGTTAACTGTAGAACTAGGCTTTACATTTAGAGGGGATGAAAATTGGTTAACTTTTACATTTATTGTAAATTTCCTTTGGTGCTTCTGTAATCTTCTCTCCCAAATAGCACATAACAAGTGAATCAAATAATGAAGAGACCATGGCAGACAGGTATTTACATAACTTTTGTACACAAAAGCCATTCTAGCCCCATTCTACACACAACTCCCGTTGACATTGTACTGAATGTGGAAATTGTTAGCACCATCTGTAGGTCAAAAACTATTGTAAATTCATAGACAAGGTCAGTATGAGAGAAAATAACTATGTGACAATTGTTACTATGTGTATGCCATCAACAGTGTGCTTAGGTGTTTTATAGCCAAGTAGGAGACAAAGTCCAAAGAGCTTGCAATGTAAGGCGCTCATCGGGCAAAGATCGACACACATGCTTAACTTGACATATGAGAAGTCCTGCTGACTTCTCTGGCGTCTACTCAAGTGCATAAAGTTAAGCATGTGCATATGGATTGCAGGATGAAGGCTTTAGGCGCTGTACAGATGTGGGAGGAGGGTGGAAAAGGAATGCAACTGAAATGTGAAATGTACTATTAGTTTCACAATTTGATTTATTTTCTGTTTCTTTTCACTGCGGGAAGGACTGAGATTCTCTGGGATAAAATTGTGTTAAATAAGTGATTCCGGTAGGAATATTTATTTAGTCTACAATGTAATATGTTAACTTTATAATTATAATCCCCATAACCATATCTGTAACCATACAAAATAGAGTGGAATCCTCCCCCTCAAAAACAGGAAAGTTGTGAATTCATCTTTTCCATTTTTTTAAATTCTAAATTTTAAAAAATTTCTTCAAAATGTTGAAATGAAGAAGAAAAAACCCCTACCTCTCATGCAAGGACCCTGAAAAAAAAAAAGGTGTTTGAATTTATTTATACCATAGATTAATCATGCAGATGCTGCTTAATGCTAAATGAACATGGACAGTTAACCTGATACCTAGAAGCTTGTGGCTTTCACAGGCTTGCTTGTTTAATGCACTCTAATTTGTTTGTTTGCTGTAATTTTACTAAAATACTTGAAGGAAAAGTGAGTTTCTTTCTGGTGGCCAAATTAACTGCTCTGCTGGCATAAGTGGATGCAACTCCATTGAAACAAATTAGAAGGGCCTTGCTTACACCAGCACTGAATTTGGCCCTGATGTGACTACTAAGAAATCATGAGGACTACTTAGCTCTTTTGGGAGAAAATCAATGGGAGCTTCTCGCAAAGATCACAGGTAAAATACTACCCAAAACTGCACATCCCACTCAGACAGCCTTCCTCTTCCCTCCCTGTCGCAGTCACCTGTATTCTTGCTAAATTATTCCTGTGACAAAATTGGAACTGCTCTGTCATGATTTATGAACAGTGAGTGTTGACCTGGCTTTTGGGATGTTTATTGTGTGAATATATTGGTTTAGTTTAGTAGGTGGCTATAAAGAAAACAAGCAGGAAGGGAAGAAGCATGGCTCAGGAGTGTTGTTCAGTGGGCAATGCTCATACCCTTATAGCATCAATATTTTACCTCCTCCCAAGCCAACCTCCAAAACTAGTTTTTTCCAAAGACAAAGCCCAAGAATGTGAGAACAAAGCAACTCTGACAGTTTAGGGAGGGGTGCTCTCTGAGGAGACGAGTCATTGTTTGGGGGAACCAGACTAAGATGCAGGCGTTGGATGGACTGTCTGAAGAAATTAGGGCTGACTAGGTGACCCTGAGGGGATGGTAAGCCTTTGGGTAAGATGGACAAGTGTGGACTGTTTGTTGTCCTAAAATGCTTTTTATCTGCATGCTTTGTTACTATACATAGAATGAACAATATTCCAGTTTCACTAAGGCAGTTTTGTCACTAGACACCATCGGCCACAGGCTCCCAAAGGGAAGAACCATAAGTGCGGAACCCAGTCAGACCTGCTGGGTACTGAAGCCCAGGTACCAGTCTGAGTGGGAGAACTGTAGATTTCCAGCCTGGGATAGGTAAAGACACGAGGCCTGACACTTGAGGGGATGCATTCAGAGAGACCAAAAAGGGGACAGGGTGCAGCTAGCCCTCCAGCCATGACCATTACAACGGTGATTGACCCCTAAGCTCTTGTGTATAGATTGTGTGTGTATGTGTGTTTTCTCATTACGAAGGGTCCCATTCATTGCTGACAGTGCAGCTCCACTGAAGTTAATGAACCTCTACATGTTTACGCCAGTGGTGAACACGATTTCAAATGCAGCTTTGCTACACTGCTACAGAGGATTTCCGCAGCCGAATCTGATAAAGGTAGCGGTCCATTCTAAACTGGTAATTGCTGTAGTTAACCAATTTTCACTACACTCCAAGCAAAGTTTTTAGTTAAAGGTAGCCCCTGTTTTAATTCTGAACTTCAATAGTAAATGACCCTTGATCCACTCTAAATAAGCAGTGCAAAATCGGTTTAACCTGAAGACTATTATATATGCTCAGCAAGTTATTGTATATAGGCATGATTGCTAAAAGTAATGATTTTCCACACAGTTCCCACTGCAATCTAATACTGCAATACAAATTGAACAAACATATAGAATTTTAAATTGACAGCTATGTACAAAATTACATGGTACAAGGTTATTATAAAACATAATTCAGAAATAAAACTCTGATTTCTTAACACAAAATACTGCAGGTTCCCAGTTTTAAAGCACAAATTGCATAACTATCTTTTAAACTGAAACAGACTCTAAACATTCTGTAGTTTGAGTCCAAATGCCTTTGAGTGCATGCAGCAGTCAATGAATATTCAGAACCAGAGATTTGCAAAATAACATTAGTTTAAAATATTTTGAATGGATCCCCCTAGAAAAATCTCTTCCTGTTTCTTTAACAAAATAGATACTCTAGGCCCCAGACCTGCAAAGACTCATGCATGTGTCTAACTTTATGCACATCAGAAATTCCACTGAACTCCATAGGACTATTCATGTGCTTAAAGTTAACGTGTGTTTAAGTCTTTGCAGGATCCAGGCCTTAGGACTTGTGTATATGGAGAGTTAGTGTGCAGCAAGCTGGAGTGTAGTGCCCCACCCTGTCACATGCACTAACAGGCAGTGTGGACCCTCTGAATGCCCACTCGAAGTTCTGTAGTGTGCCTTGATCTACTCCCATTTGAAATAGGTAGAATACTGCCCCAAACTGAAACTGGAGTAGATCAAAGTGCAACGTAAAACTTCTAGTGTGTGGTACCAGGGCCCACATGACCAGTTAGTTCGCAGCAGGCCAGTGCATTGTACATTTGAACTCCAACTTGACGCGAACTAACTCTCCATATAGACAAGTCCTTAGTGTTCAAACAGCCAGCTGTTCACTACAATACATTTTCCTTTAATAGATATCCCCTGTCTAAAATGATAGCAAGGGAAAGTATGTTCATCTGAATTGGGTCTTTTATTTGGTCCAACATCAGTTCCAACTGCTGGTACGGCACTAGAATGGGAAGTAACAGATTTCCAATCAGATGCTGATGACAGTGCCTACTTTTACCCATAATTCAGTTTTGGAGGCACTGCTGTCTCTAAAATGACTCATGGGGTAAAATGCTGCAGTCATTCCCCAGGCCATGCCCTCATTGTCTTCAGTAGGAGTTTGGCCTAGGAAGGGACTGCAGGATTTGACCCCAAGTGAAGTTTATCAGTGGCCTACTCCTATCAGCCCTCGACACATGGAACTCCCATCAGCTTCCACAGAAGTTCTGGGTATGGAGCATTTTCAGCATCAGACCCTGGCAGCATTCACATAAGGCACATTCTGAAGGTGCTTAAGTCTCTTGCATCTGGCGGTTATTTGCTGGATACACAGAATCCCCAAGGAAGGATTAGTGAAAGACCATTTTAGAAGAAACTTTACATCCCAAGATATTACTACAAACATGATCAGTAATGGAATTTCAACACTGTGGAACGTGCTTCCTAGAGTATGGCAGCATTATATGGATTTGTCAGTGTTTCACTGACTCCTTGTTATTTATTCTTCTGCTTTGCTGTGACACCTGTGGGAGAAAACATAAAACAATTACAACAACAAAAATGTTGTGGTCAGGTGTTTGTGTGTGTGTGTGCATATCCTGTACATGATGTACTAGTTGGGAAAACTGGTTTTAAATCCATCAAATAAGCCAGGTGCCCCAATGCACTTTAAAAAAAAAAAGAGGAGAGGAAGAAAAAACAAAAAAACGGTAAAACTATTAATGTATGTACTCTATGAAAACTCAATTTCATTCATGCACTGAGATTCTAATTTTATTTGAAGAGTTTAACCATCTTCTTTGTTCTGGAGCTGGTCACTGCTAATAATTCAGCACAGTACTTGAAACAATAAATGTCATGTTCTCCATGCTGAATGCTGGAAATACTAGGTTTTCAGCTGTATGCTAGTTTGACACACCAAGCTTACGGACTAATATTGCTTCTTCTGCAGGAGCTGGCAGTTTTGCCATTGACTTGGGCACTGATCTCACAAGTAAATCTGAGGAGACAGACATCCTACTGCCTTCACACAGAGCTGCACGCAGGCATAGGGTTCTTCTAGCACAGAGTAACTTGCATAAATGGGGTTGTAAATGGAGTACAGTGGGGTCTTTAGTTTTAGCATAGTGGTGGTGAAAGATATTCAGCATGGACTTAACTGAATCTTCCCAGTGTGTCAATTTCCAGAAAGAAAACACCAAAATTCCAGTGTCGAGGAATTCTACTTTTGCACAGACTTATTCAGGTGAGTAGTACCATTGAAGACAATGAGGTTACTCATGTGAGTTAGGCACTTCAGGAAGTGTTTGCAGGATTGGAGCCTTAATCTGTAAATGTTAAGGTGCTTTCTAGCTCATTGACCAAACAAAACCTCCTCCAGATCTCATGAATATTTTACAGATATGGACACCATGGCTAAAGATATACACACTCACAAGAGTGAATAATTAGAATATAGTGGCAGATGAGAAAATTTAAGACCATAAGAAGCACTGAATCTGTTGTAGAAGATAACATGGGTTGTTATCCCCCTAGAATTAGAAAACAAAAATGACCCAACATGAAAGTTATCCTAATTTATTTTTTTTTAAGACTGAAGAAATACAGTCCTTTTGGAAAAAAGAGCAGGTCAAGGTGTATATGTAACAGATAATATATAGGTTTCAGAGAAGCAACCGTGTTAGTCTGTATTCGCAAAAAGAAAAGGAGTACTTGTGGCACCTTAGAGACTAACCAATTTATTTGAGCATAGGCTTTAGCTGTAGCTCACGAAAGCTTATGCTCAAATAAGTTTGTTAGTCACTAAGGTGCCACAAGTACTCCTTTTCTTTTTTAGATAATACATAGTGTGGGACTTTTTTGTTTTACTTTTCTTTGTAACCCTTGATAAACTGAAATCTACTTCCTCCCTGATTTATTTTCTTTTTCCCTCCTCCCTTTTGTGATCACACTGCTTTGTTCAAACAGAAACAAGTGCCAAGCACAGGCACTCATCTTTTACTCTTTGAAGAACAAAATTATACTTCTGGGGATGAGGGGAGAACAAAAGTAGCATCATTTGGCCTTTACAAACAGCTATTTCAATAAAATTGGGGTTAATTCAGGAATCAGGTTCTATGGCTGGTGATATGCAGGTGGTCAGCCTAGATGGCTTTAAAATCTATGGTTCTGTGAAACAAGGTAAATTTGAGCACATCAAAGCCTGTCTTTATTTTACTGCTGTTGCAGACCCACAGCATGCTAAAGCTGCGAGAGGTTCAGCTCTGATCTTCCAATTGGATTTGGCCAGGGGGGAGCATGGGGAGCTGCCATGACTTCAAGATCCAGCAAAAGGCTTCTAAAAAATGACCATTTCCCAAACGTAAATCCGTTCTCCTCATTCCCTGCAAATTGTGCTTCCTTGGGTTCCAAACTAAAAGGCTGTATTCCGATAGAAAGGAAGGGAGAATGGAAATCCAGCGACTTTTTCCCCAGAAGGTGACGATGACTAATAGCACAACTCATCTCCTCGTTTTACTGGGATTGTTCCCACTCTCTTTTACAGCGAACGTTCATTGCCTAGTGAAGTAACAGTGCTGCTGCTTGTACTGATAGGTGGGAACCATGAATCGGATTTACAGACAGACTGGTGAGGAAAAAGCTGTGGCTAGAGGCTGTAGGGCAACAGAAGTAAAGGGCTTTTCTCATCTACTCTAATTCACACAAGCAAATAATGTTAAGACACCAGATAAAAGAAGGAAAGGACAGAATTTCAGTTAGGGGCTCACTGTAGCATGTTCTTCCAATACTTGATCACCAGAGGGCACTGACAGACAGACATTAAGGTGGGACCCTATCATAGCTGGAATTTTAGGACAACCTCAGCTGTGAATTGCCTTTACTTTTACTGCTTTCTTTCAGGACCTTTACAGCTCTCACAGGGCTTGATTCAAAGCCCACTGAAATCAGTGGAAAGACCCACTGATTTTCAACCAATTTTGGATCAGACCCTTAATGTAAATTCTTGTGTGTGGCTTTCTTGTGTATTCCAAGGCCAGTCCAAAAAAAACCTGGATGTGCCTCAGGTCTTGTCTGAGTAGGGATGTTATAAACTCACGTATGGTCATCTTGCTCCAAACATCTTTAATGTTCTTGAAGCTACTCTTCTGACATATGGGGGCTCAGTCCCTGACCTGAGTCTCAAATGTGAATTTTTGCTGCTGCTCCTGTCAATCTTTGGCGACTGGATTTTGAAAGGCAGCACAGCAGCTGCCCGCCTCTTTCAGGTGGGAGGCTGTAGAGAAGGGGTGTGACTGGTGCAGGAGGAGCCATGAGTCAGAACACTAGGATGGTCACTCGCACATGCCCAGAACACCAGACGTTCCGGCACTGCCAGGAACGTCGCATGACTCCGTCCCTCAGCATGGCTTTGTGTGCACCACATGGGAGGGCTCATTCTGAAGAGCACATTGCCCAGATCTCGCTGGTGTGACAGTGCACTAATGCTGGTGGTGGAGGCAGAGAAGCACACTCTTCATTATGGCATCCTCGGTATGATACTGGAGACAACCACATCTGGTTTTGTCTCAGTACCACATGGGGGACAAACAACCCCAAAAGAGGACCAAATGGCCTTCTTACGGAACACATAGCTCTCTGGCTAATCCTTGGCTACCAAAATGGCTGAGAGAGATTGGTTCCTGTCATGGTAAATTAGAGCAGTCTTCAGGCTACTGATGCAGAAAATACCAAAAAAAAAAGTCTTAGCAGTGGTTCCCATGGCTTCTATTTCACCACCAGTAGATGACTGGCTAAGAGGAATATTAGTTTCCGGGGATCACTAGGGAGGGATACCCAATATTCTTACATAGCAAGAAACTGCAGACTCTGTAGAATAAATACATTTTGTTCATGAAATCAGATATTCAGAGGGTTCAGATTATTGGTTCATTTAATTATGGCTGCTCATGATTAGAATGCAAAGGAAAACATGTAACTATGCAATTTCAGTACATGTAACTATGCAATTTCCCCCTTGCCCCCTTAATATAAATAAAGGCAAATCTTGGAAAATGAAAATCTTAGTGGGGGTCACCCAAAGCTTTCTTAAAACTGGAATGTAAAATGTCAGGAACATACAATACCCTGATATCAGGTGGGAGGTGCAGGGGCACTTGATAGAGAGTTTCAGAAAAATTGGGTTTACCCATAGCTGCATGGGTGTCTCAGACAAAGCAAAATCAGGCCCCAGTGCTGGGCTATGTTTACACTAGCACTTTTGTTGGTAAAACTTATGTCACTCGGGGTGTGAAAAAATATCCCTTGCACTGACAGAAGCGCCGGTGTGGACAGTGCTATGTCAGCGAGAAATGCTTTCCTGCGGGCATAGCTACCGCCGCTCGCTGGGGTGGTGGCTTAATTATATCAACGGGAGAGCTCTCTCTGGTCAGCGACTACACGGGAGGTCTTACAGCGGCACAGCTATACCGATGCTGCTGTGCCGCTGTAAGCTCTCTAGTGAAGACATGGCCCTGGAAAGATGTACACATGCGCTTAACCGTAAGCAGCTGCATGCTCCATTCACTTCCACGGATTACTCATCAGCCTAATTTTAAGTACATGCACATGTCTTTGAACACCAAGACCTTAGTGCTGACTAGCACGTGAAATTTGGATTTCAGTTGGGCTGGTAGTCCTGTATGAGCAGAATTTCTTCCCTGGTCCACTATTCTGCTTAAATAATTCCAATAAACCTGTTAAAATGACTCTGTAATGGATAAGCCCCACCCACAACCGGAAGCCTAGGGGAGGAGCAGTCGCCTCTTTCGAAGGATGAATGTACTGAAGTTACATTTTTACAATTTTTGGAAAAAATAATAATCAGACAAAAGCAAGGCCTCCAGTTATCCTGGTTAAGGTAATTAACACCAGACTTTATGGTCTCTGCTGGGAAAGGTAGATTGGCTGCTGCTGACGTAAAAGACAGACATTTGGGACCTGATCCTGCAGCACTGGGAGTATTGCCACTGTCTCCAGTGGGGCAGGATCAAGCCCTTGGACAGCAAAAATCACAAACACATAATCAGATATTAAGGCAAAAAGCTTGGTTGCCATAATGATTACTGATGGCATCATAAAGTGTAAAGTCCCAGTGCTGGGGTTAGTTCACATAAAAGCAATGTTGCGTGTTTACATACCTCACTGTATCACACAACGATTTTTGGTTTTATTATCTCCAGTATCAATGTCAACCTCTGCTTTTAAATAAAAGAGAGACACTAAATATATCTGACCGCTGTGACATAAAGGTAACAACATGGAACGTCATAGGACAGAGACCGTCCTCTTGGAAACATGACTAGTTTATATTTCTTGGGATTAAAAACTATTAGTTTAGTCAATAGCTAAACAGTCTGAAAACTTAAACGATTAAATTGTGCTTGGAGCCTATGGTGGCCACCCAAGGAGTAAAGTGGAGTAAAAGCCCCATCCCCATCCCACTGCATGGGAAACACACCATTTGATCATGTCTCTAGCTATGGAGGTGGGAAGAGCAGGAGTTGCATACCCAATATTCTCTCCCCTTTACTCATGAGGGAGGAGAAGGGGTGGAGAGTTGAAGAGACATGGGTCTACTACTGTCCTTCCCGTCTGGTGACCATTGGAGCTGGCGGGGCACATGTCGGGTTGGGACAGCAATGGGAATACACTGTGTCAGCCCTCTAGAAGATACAGCAGATCTCCCCATAAATCCCAAGTGAGACGGAGAGCTCTGGAGGAATGGTGCCAGAGAGTCCTCCAGTCCTTCCTGGGGCGGCACAGTTACACGTAGTCAGGGCTACATCTAAAAGCTGTCTCTAGCCTTAAGAACGTGATCTTTTGCACAAGCATCAGTGTGATTTTTTTCCCCCTCAAGCTGTGTGCTTGAATATTTAACACTAAGGAAGGGTCACACTGAAATACAACAGAACTTTACACTTCAGTGACACTAATTCTCATGTGCAGAATACTCTTGTAACTGATGTCTTGGGGAAAACCTCATAAAAATTGAGTGATGGGAGTACGGGGAAGAGTTTTAATACACTTATATTAAAGATACATTTATAAATAGTTTATATGGGTTAACAAATGATTAATAGATGTTATAATGAATGGTTAGTCTCTACTATAGTAAATGATTAATCACTGCTTCTAGAGTCCAATGGGCCAGTTAGTTGCATCTAACTTTAACTTACAACTATCTGTAGCACCTTTGACAGATGTGCTTGTCACCATCTGTACTGTACTCCATTCATGTGTGCAACATGTTTCTATTGATCCATTAATCATTAACCCTTTATAAACTATTTATACATGCCCCTAATGGCTAGTGGGGCCAAAGTTTTTGCATTGTTTAACCAGTCTCCGATTTTAAAAGACATCTGCATTAAACAGTGTTTTTCCTGAGGATAGTAAAACTCCTATTGACCTCACTGGTGCAGGAATGGACCCTAAAAAAGGAAGGAATACTTCTAATTAAAAAATCCTAGAGAGCTGAAGATGTGAACTCCAGTCTCCTGTATTTAGCTAAAGGCTTGCTAATCTCCATATGCTGCACTGAAATGTGTTACCTGACAGGCTTTTGCTGTGTCGTTTCTTCTTTCTCCGTTTCCCAGACCCTCTTTGCCCTTCCTTGTCAGTAAGTGCTTGCGCCGGAGGGACTGTTGCTGAGCAAGAGGAATCAGTCACTGGCTCTTCTGAGAAGGATTTCTCCTGCGAGGTGTCCAGCAAGGAGTCTGCGGCCAGGTCGTCATTTTCTTTCTCTGTCCCCCTTAACTCTGTATGCTGAGAACTCGACTCATTGGTTGGAGTCATTTTAGCACTGCCAGGTGCTAGTTCAGCTCTGGTTTTAGCCTCGTTCCCAACTGCATCACTTGGTTGTGACGTTTGATCGTTAGACACCAGGCCTCTTTCTAACTGAGTGGGTCCGGATTCACTGTTTTTGTCTCCTGAGAGGGATCCGTTCAATTCCTCTTCTAAACCAGTACAGTTACCTGAATAGCTGCTTGCAAACTTTATAGTTGTTCCGGGGTTCGATGGCGTGAACACAATGGCGTTGTATTCCACATTCTCTTGAAAGCTACACGAGCCGTTGATCTGCTGAATACTCACTCCATTGTTGGGCTGATGGGTTCCCTCAACTTCAGTTGAAGGTAAGGCGCTCCTGTCAGTACAGGGCTGTTGTGGCGAACTTCCTCCAGCTCTGTCTTTAGGAAGCACTTCGTCGGAAGCTGGTGTCTCTTTGACAACTCTACCGGTAGCCTTCGCAGTGGCAGCAGCTTCTGAGGCCGGAGTGTTTTCTGTGTGCTGACTGCCATCCTTTCGCTTGGTCTCAGAGGCACTTTCCTTCGCTGCTGCTGTTTCTGACTCATCAACACTCTTTCCTTTAAACAGACAACACAGGATCAGGCACAGTTGTTCAGTCTAGCGTGTGACTGTCAACCAACAACAATGGGTCGTCTGAGTGTAATCTGACCACCTGCAATGGGCCCCGGGCTAACGGCTCAGGGCAAAGGGGCCAATGGATTTATAATGGTCATATGCGGTCAGGAGCTTTTTATGTCTCATCCAAAAACTAGCCACTCCCATAGTTCAGTGACCCCAAACATCACATGGGGGCATTTGGTTCAGAACGCAGGCCCCAACACAGCAAAGCACTTCAGCGCATAATTTTGAGTCTGTGCTTAGCTCCCATTGACGTTAATCAGTTTCATTCCCACTGAAGTCAATGGAACTTAGACATGCTGCATAGGAGCCTACCTGAGGGGAGCTAAGGGACAATGAATTCCCAGCTGGCATCATGGGCCTGATCCTGCTGTTGCAGAAAATAGCTCTGCCTGAGACATGTCTTCAGAACTTCCCCCCATCTGGGTTTCTCCATCCAAGTTGCAACCCAGCCTGGCCCTGCTTTTTAAAGGGATTGCAGAAAGGCTGCAATTTGCACGTTATCTCTTGTGGCAGGCCGGGTGATGGCCTTAAACAAGATTGTTGGCTGGTTTGCCTCTGGGAGTGGAGGCTACCACCTCAAAAGCGGAAAGGAAGCTCACACTGCAAATTTAGAAAATAAGCATCTCTTGGGTAACATTTCCCGAAGTGCCCAAGTCCCTTGGAAAATGGGACTTTGTCACTTGCACAATTTTTTGACAATGGTCCCCCTCGTCTATTGATCAACTGCAACAATTCAAAGAGAAGTTCCTCTGTATGTGTAACGCCAACAGACCCCAGTCGTCGGCGGGCGGGATCAAACCTGGGACTCCGGAGCTTAGTGCATGAGCCTCGACTGCATGAGCTAAAAGCCAGCTGACTGTTAGCTGAGGCTATAGAGCAGACTCATTTTATCTTTAAGTGGTCTCGGTGCCACTAGATGGGACAGAACACCACACTCAGAAGATGTGTGGGTTACATAAGTATTTGTTTTGCTACAATATTTGCAGCAGACTGGAGGTTAATGGTTGCAGGTATGGTTGAGTCTTTGGTCTTACCAGGCTCTCTCTCCTTCAGCGTTTCGGCAGGTGAGGCTTTAGGAGCAGTGTCCGGCGCACTCTTGTTTTTAGCCGTTTTCCGCAACTGGAAACCTTTCTTTATGTCGGCCAGCAGGGCATCAATAACACACACCTCGTCCTGCTTCACGGCCCCTTTCTTAACTAGTGTTTTAAACAAAACAAAACAAAAATGGGAAAATGGCTAACGCCGCACTCCGGGGGAACGGGCAGTGATAGTTGAAAGTGGTGGGGTTACCACCAAGGGTATATGCTGGGGAGCAGTCCCTGATTTTCCATTGCCCTGCCCCTTGCGGTATCATCGGTTCCAGTGCAAAGTGGGTGTCAAACACTGCCTCTCTGAGCTGGCACCATTCTACACCCACTGCACCGGTGTGAATGACTATGGAAGGCGAAGGGCAGCGAAGAACCTGGCCCAGAGCCCTTGCCAACCAGGGTCGGCACCTCTAGTATTCTCTCCGCTTTGCCCTATGCCAAAGTACGCCTGTGGCACCCTGCAGGCCAAGGCCTTTAAATGGCTCCTGTTCTGTATCTTGAATTTTACTGAAAGTGAGGGAGGGGTAATCTTGTTTCTCTCCTTTGCTGTTCTCTGCTGCACTGTGGTAGGGACCCTCTTTAAGGCACCCAAAAGCCTTCAGCCATCGAACACTCAGAAATCTACCCTGAATGATTATTATTGGAACATTAAGGCAGGAAGAGTTTGGAGCTTCTATCAGTCCTCACCTATATGGATTGTATGCAGTGTTATTGTAGCCATATTGGTCCCAGGATATTAGTGAGACAAGAGGGGGGTGAGGTAATAGCTTTTATTGAACCAACGTCTAGTCCAGTAAACTTCTCCATCCAGACCTGAAGAAGATCTCTGTGTAAGCTCGAAAGCTTGTCTCTCTCCCTAACAGAAGTTGGTCCAATAAAAGATACTGTATTACAATCCATAGAGAGACAAGCTGGGTGAGGTATGTACATCTCCTTTTAAATAAACCCTTTCAAATACTCACTGATCTTCCCATTGTCTCCTTTTTGTCTCTTAGCCTCTTCCTCTTCCAACTGTTTCTTCCTTTTTTCTGCCTTTACAGCTTGTTCCTTCCTGTCCTTGTTTTCCTGGAGCCAGAGAAGAGTCACAGGGGATGTTTGGTTAAATATCTAGTAGCAAAGCGACCTAAAGGGAAGATGGTTCAATCTATTCACAGCTTGTGCAAAACAAGGGGGAAATCCTGGCTCCTCCCTCCCAGAGAGATCCAATAGGCAGCTGGGAGCTGTGTGCTCCCCCATTGTGGGGGTGAGAGGCAGTGAGTGTACTTGCCTGGGGCTCCATCCCCATCCCACAGTGTGCCATGGGGACGGGCAGTGACTGGATCCATTGTCCAGATGCCCCACATACAGGGGATGTACAGCAGGCTGAGGAATCTCCCCCGACTGGCTGCAATGGACTCTGCAACCCTCCCAAGCTGCTGCAAAACCCTCTCTGAGTCAAACCTGGTTGCTTGGGCTGGACTCAGGGATCAGTTTCTGACCCACTATAAATCCACAACTTTTCTACAAACTTATCCTGGAAGAGAGAGCGTCCTGGGTCCATCACTCAAACTCTGGGTTAATGCCAACCTCCAGCCTAGCAGCTCTAGCTTGGTAGTGCAAAGCTCACTGAGCTCTCCATCCTCACTCGGCAAGGAGGTTCCTTCGTTAGTGCACATCACAATCTGAAAGCTCCCTGCAGATCTCAGTCAAATCCCCAAGCTGGCTGTTTCAGTACCACACCCAGAGCCCAGTAATGTCAGTGGCAAAAATCCCATGGACTTTAGCAGGGGAAGGCCCTAGCTCAGGATCTGACCTCAGGTTCATATCCTCCAGTGTGATCAGATGGTGCAAAGTGGATAGATTCCAGCTGGAAATGGCCAGTGGAGAACACTTAGAATCATAGAATCATAGAATATCAGGGTTGGAAGGGACCCCTGAAGGTCATCTAGTCCAACCCCCTGCTCGAAGCAGGACCAATTCCCAGTTAAATCTTCTTGCAGTCCTGCCCACCTGGCTTAGGGGACATGCTTAGAGATGGATGGAATAGGGCAAGGAGCGTGGTAGGGGTCGGCTGAGGGTTTGGCGGAGCAGAGCTTTGTTACACCAGTTCTCCAGTTGCACATAGTCCCTCAGGGACCTTATGCCTGTGGAGAAGTTAGAGCAGCCACTTGGTTGCTCTAATGAAAACCAGGGCTGGGACAGTGCTGAATCAAAGGGCCATAATGAGCTCCTTGATGGCCCTGCCCTTGCCCCCTGCACCAAATGGAGCTCAGATGTAAGGGAAAATCAGGTCCTATTTACTATCTGAACTGATGCATGTGTTCCAGCACCTGTATCCTACTGCATAATGTTCACAAATGCAAACCTTTAGTGCTCTGATGAAGAGATCCCTGAAGGTTTTCATGGTGCTAAATATATCTTCTAATGACAGCTTGTTTGCATCTTCACAGAGATAATTTGCAAGTTCCCCCTTCTTCCTTTCAATGATTTCAAACTCCTCCTCCAACTTCTTTGATGCATTTATGCTGTCCTGAAATGAATTTAGGCCAAGTTACAAAGCATTGTGCATCAGACATTGCAAGGAAAGACTAATGGAAAAAAGTAGTTAGAATGACAATGTAACCAGAATTCAGTTCCAAGGCCCAGATCCTTGGCTGTGACCCAGGAGCTCCTGGGGCAGTTAGGAGAAGAAGTGCAAAGATGGCTTGGGTTCTCCCTTATCCCTGCTCTCTGCCTTTCTAGTCAGTACCTGCTGGTCATGGCAAATGAACACAAAAGGGTTGTGTGGCATTCACATTCATTTTCAAATATGAGAGGCGATGAGGGGACAAATGTTTCCACCCTTCACTCCTCCCTGAACATGCTGCCTTTGCAGAGTCTCGGCTCTTCTCTCCTCAAGGGAGGGCACTCCTTTCACTGACCTGGATGGGCGTCTCATACTGGGCTTTCACGTCGTCTTTCGATGACAAAACCTTTTGCTCAAGTTCTAGCAGCTTCTTTAAATTGGAACTGGACTCCGCACGTATGATTTCAAGGTTAATTCTGAAAATGAACACAAAGCCGCAGGAGATTAAACACAGTTCACTTCTCGGAGAGCTGGGCTAGCTAGAAGAGAGGAAAAACAGCAATGATTTCCCACTCTCCTCCCCCTTTTCTGTTTCCCAGTGACTCTATGGTATTAAGCACAGAACTATGCCTGTGTCATTCTAGGTAGCACCACAAGGAAACATGGCCTAGTGGTTAGGACACTGGATGGAGTTAGGAGACATGAGTTCCATTCCTAGTTTTGCCACTGACCTGCTGTACCTGGGACAAATCACTTCACTTGTCTCATTGACTGGCCCACCAATCGCCAAGCACGAGGGAGCCCTGCTCTCATTTGAGGCCCTCAGGTACTACTGTGATGCAAATAATTCATGAATTTAGAGTGGGCTTTTCAAAGTGCTTCAATGATTTAGGAGCACAGCTCCATTCACTTTCAATGGAGTTTGTGTTTCAATGGGGCTGTGCTACTAAGTCATTAAACACTTTAGGTGGGCTTTTCAAATCCCCTGATAGTACAAACCATCACCAGCTAGAATGGATCATGCTAATATTTGCTCAAAATTATCTGGCTGTGCAAATTCTCAGGGGACATTTGTCCACACGTATCTTATTGTGCTTAATGTTTTGTTCTCAAGAGCAAAAGGGTCACTAGTGTAAGACGGATGAAAAATCCAAACAGTCCCCACAAAATCTTCCAGCAACAACACAAACACCTTTGTTAACAAGCCAGCTCTTTGGCCATGAGAACATCCCCCAGCAGCACTTCTGAAGAGAGGGCCAGGTCTAACTGGAATCTTGTGTATTGTACATTTGGAAATGGATACATACGGACTTTAATTGTTTGGCTTCACTAACACACTAGAGAGACTAATCTACAGATTCAGGGCTCTTCTGAAGCTGCTAGGCTATTGTCCCTGAATACAGCAGTGACAGGTACTTCAGCACTGCTTATAGGTAGCTAGGTTTAAAAAGACAGAGTCTCCTTGAACGCCATACCATTTCTGTGAATTCCTGCAAAACAGAATTAATTGAATGCAGAACAATTTTTGACCCTAGTTACTGTCTTGCTTATTGCTGAACTGTGCATATAGCCGATTTGCATTTTAAAATGGCTTCAGAATTTGCAAAAGGAAATCCTTTGGTTACAACTAATTGAGTCTTTATCCGGTTAATGCATGGATTATAATAACAGCCATTTATGTCTTAATTTCTTGAATCTGGATGGTTCTTCTTTTTTTTTATTTAAAGTATCAGGTTCACAATCCTACCCGGCTGCCTTTGAGACACATTCAAGGTCCTTGGGAAGCTGCAGGAGGTCTGTGTGACTTTTCTCTACTTCCTAAAACAGAAACATTTGTTATTTTTGTATTTATTTTTCGTACGCAGCAGGTGCACAGTGGGGGGGAGGAGGGGAAGGGTTACAAACAGAGGGAATGACTGGTGTGCGCAATGTTTCATTCCCACCCCACCCCCCACTGTTTGTTTAGCATGATTCAAAAGGGGACCAGCCGTTTCTATGGTTGCCAAGACTATCCAGAATTATAAGAGTACAGATTTAAAAAATATACAAGAGTATTGAAAGGGGTATGAACCCTCATGCCTCAGGGCGGAGGGCGATCTCTAACTGATGGGTGGTTAGAAAGGAACTTTCCCAGTGGATAGATTATCCCAGAATCTCCTACTGCGGGGTTTCTTTCACCTTCCTCTGAAGTGCAGGGTCCAGGCCTCTGCTGAAGGCAGGATATTGGACTAAAAGGACCACTAGTCTGATCCAATCTGGCAATTCTTACGGGTCTGTCTATGCATTAAGAATATCTGTGTTCTAGTTTATCTGCCTGCCTAACTATCTATCTACTAACTTATACAACCATCTTTGCCACAGTGTCTGAGCACCTCAGCATAGCAATTAGGAGTTAGCTAATTTTTTTTTAGGTGTCATGGTAAAAGTGGGACCCCCAAAAAGGGTTTGAATGCATAGGATTGGCAAGGGGAGAGCTCAATGAACAGGGCAATAAGACTGGCATCATTGGCAGAGGAGAGGGAGAAGTGGTAAGCTCTGGGTGACAGGGACTGGGTTTTTTTGGTTCTTTGTTTGTACAAGTGCCTAGCATGATGGGTCCATGACTAGGGCTCCTAGCCACTATGGTAATACAAAAAATAAATATAAGGGCAGCTAAGCAGCAGTGAGAAAGCTATGAAAGAGCTTAAAGCTTGGGCAAGAAGCTTGAATGTGATCTGGTAGAAAGGGGAGATCCAGCGTGCCAACACTGGAGGGGACTTCACTGGAGCTACAGGCCAGGAATATGTTCCTGGCAGCTGCATTTCATATGGGTTGGATGGGGGTGAGATGGGCGTCAAAGAAGCAAGAGAGGAGGAACTTACAGAAATCAAGGTGGAAAATGATTAAGGCTTGGATGAGATTCTTTGCTTTCTCAACTCTTTGTTTAGAATTCTTTTACAGCTAGGTAGCACCTGCAGCCCAAGTATTATGAGCCCAAGCAAATTAAGCAATCTCTCCAGTACTATGCAAATGTAACACCCACAGACCCAGATCATCAACGGGTGGGATTGAACCTGGGACCTCTGGAGCTAAATGCCTGAGCCTCTACTGCAGTGGTTCTCAACTGTGGTCCACCGCTTGTTCAGAGAAAGCCCCTGGCACGCCGGGCCAGTTTGTTTACCTGCCGCGTCCGAAGGTTCGGCTGATTGCGGCTCCCACTGGCCACGGTTCGCTGCTCCAGGCCAATGGGGGCTGCGGGAAGGGTGGCCAGCACATCCCTCGGCCTGTGCCGCTTCCTGCAGCCCCCATTGGCCTGGAGCAGAGAACCGCAGCCAGTGGGAGCCGTGATCGGCCAAACCTGCGGAAGCGGCAGGTAAACAAACCGGCTCGGCGTGCCAGGTGCTTTCCCTGAACAAACGATGGACCACAGTTGAGAACCACTGTTCTACTGCATGAGTTAAAAGCGATATGGCTCTTAGCTAAGGCTCTAGAGCAGATTCATTAATCTCTGTCTAAGTGGTCTTGGTGCCACTAGATGGCACAGAGCAGCACACCCAGGAGGTGTGTGGGTTATACAAACAAGTGAGGAGCATATAAACACAAGTATATAACATCAACCGAAGGTATGGCTGGAAAAATAGTTCATGTCCAACCAAAATTCCCGAAGGAAATTGCAGTAGTACCTCCAGAATATGGTGGAGAAGAGTAACACGGGTTTGGTTTGCTTTGGTTTCAGTTAGTTTGAGTAAAGTGCTAATTTTAAAGCCATCAGCATCTCCAGTATGACTTCCCTGAAAGACAAAAAGAAGAGGCAGGAATAACCCATGTCAAACTCAAACACTTACTATGTATTTATAACCTATACACACAAAAGAGAGAAGAAAAGTTATTTTCATCTATAAAATGTAGTGATCTCTTAACAACAACAACAACAAAAAAGATTTCTTACATAGTTAAGAAAGTTTCCAACTTTGAGAATCAGTTGACAGAAAACTGGCAGACGATGGGTCGTTAGAAGATCTGAAAAATAAAGTTATCGTTTACATAAGGGGCAGCTTCAAAACTGATTGTTTCCCAAATTGGATCAGAATTTCCATTGTACCAAGGCAGGATTTCCATACACTAGAACCTCAAAGACCCTCAAACACCAGAGTTATGGACTACAAGTAGACACCATGTGAAACTGGAAGACACCCTCTCCCTCCCCCCACCGCCCCCCCCCCCCAAAAAAGCAATACAGGCACAGTATAGTATTTGCATCTTAAAGGTAGGCACATCTGGGCTGCCTGTCCCCACCCCCATGTGTGGGGCAGCCACTTACAGCTAGGAGGTAAAGATGCTGGGGCTGCCAGCCTGGAAAGTGCCCTAAAAGTGGAGCTAGTGACTTTATTTCCACTAGCAGGAGATCTTGAATAAGCCCTGGTCTATACTGCGGGGGTAGTCGATGTAAGTAAGGTACGCAACTTCAGCTACGAGAATAACGTAGTTCCGGAGTTGACGGGAGAGCTCTCGGGGATCGATTTATAGCGTCTAGACTAGACGCAATAAATCGACCCCCGATATATTGATTGCTACCCGCCGATCCGGCAGGTAGTGTAGACCTACCCTAAGAATCGCTCAATACATTTTATTCCTTCCTTCCTCCCCTGCCACCTTATTTCCAGAAGCATTTCCCATTCTGTTCTTTTCATATCAGCCCTGTGCTCCCTAAACAACTTCACGTACTCCGAAAAAGGAAGCATAACATGTGGTGAGGGCTACCACGTGATCTACCAAGGTATATGCATGATGGCCTACATCGCTGCTGTATACAAGCACTTCCTATTTAGAAAAGCAAACATAACAAACTTTCTTGTCCTCCAAAATCTCGAGTTTTGATTAGTTTATAGGAGGATTTGGGAGTGGGATTTTTTGTGAGGTGAGGCAGGATTGTGTGTGAGGAATTTATTGAGGGAAAGCTCAGTTGAATGAATTTGTTTAGCATTAACTTCTAAATTTGGTCATTCTTAACTTCTGCAAGAGTAGGGTGACCAAATGTCCCGATTTTATAGGGACAGTCCCGATTTTTGGGTCTTTTTCTTATATAGGCTCCTATTACTCCTACCTCCATCCCGATTTTTCACATTTGCTGTCTGGTCACCCTATGCAAGAGTGAGTTCTATAGTCTAAAACCTGCTTCTCTGAAAGCTGTGTCACTTGCACTAACAAGCCTCTGACTGGTTGACAAAGTCATTGTTGAAGTGTACTGTATCCTGGGAGGTCATAGAGGGTGAAGTGTCCTCTCTCTGGTACCCAGTGCCAGCTCCATGGTAGGGCTTTGAACATCAGGAAAGACAGCTTGAACTACACTCTATGTTCATAGGTGAGCCAGGGCAGAGAGTGGAGAACTAGGGTGATGTGTTTATAGTAGCCAATGGTGTTAAGCAGACAGGCTGCTGAGTTTTGTACCTGTTGGAGGTTTTTCAAGGCTTGTAGCTCTATTCCTAGCTATGAGTTGCAATAATTTGAACCTGGTGGCCATGAATGCATGGGCCATCCTGGCCAGGTCTGTGTCTGATAGGATGAGCGTGCAATGTGCTGGCTAGTTGCAGATTTGCATATATATGAGATGGAGACAACAAAAGGCCACTTCTTCCTTAAATTCTCAGGTAAGATAGATATACTACTACAAGCCGAAATAAGGCCTCACACGGCTCTGAACACAATGCGCTGAGGGGTGACACGGTCCCATTTACCTTCACAGGCTTTCCTGATTGCTTCTGCTTTTGGCTGTAGCATATCTAGCATGACAGCGGTCTCTTCATATGACAGCATACACTCAATCCGCAGCTGGTAGCTAAGAGATGGAGTCGGCACAAATATACAGTTACGCTTAACAGATTCCTGACCCTGCCAACAGAAAGATTCCTGACCCATTCCCCAAACCATCACACTCTAACCTCTGCCAAAAGCCACATCCAGGCTCGTGACCAGCTACCACATCTGCATCACATTGATACTGCACAGCTCTGTCTGTGGCTTGGGGCGGTTCTTTCTCAATGGCAGGCCATAACTGGCAGCACGGAGATGGTGGCTCCTGCCGTAGAGGATACACTGATCTCCGTGGAGAGGGAGGACGGCCATGTGGCTATTGGGAGATCTGGATTCTATTCCTGACACTCCAAAAGCCTTCCTGTGTGACTGGGCAAGTTACTTAACCAGCCGGCCACACCTAGGGCCTATGCCAGCTTCTGCCATCTCAGTGCAGAAGATTGTGCGGGAGCAGCCACATTCTACAAGGCCACAGACATCCCCCTCAGCCTGAAAAAGAGGCAGCACTAACTGTGGAAGGGTATGGCCATCACATCCTCTCATCACAATCTGCTGGCAGGGATTCCGATTGCCTTATGACTGTTTCCTCTGGCTGCAAACCCAGAAGAAGGGCATTGGTGCTATCCCTTCCTTCAGTACAGCAGTCTTACTAACCTTGAGTAACTGGCCAGGTTGGCCCAGCAATGTATAACTTACATTTCACTGTACCAGTGTGTCTGCTCCTCTCTGACATAGAGACTACTCCCCTACCTCACACGGGAGAGGATGATTAATATTTGTAAAGCACTTTGAGAGTCTCTGATGGAAGAGGCATGTGAAATGCAAATAAATATACAAGTGCAATATTATAATATGAACGCCAACAAACAAACAAACAAACCCAACAACTTTGGCGTACACTAAAAGCATTTTAAGAAAGGCTTAGTTTTAAAGCAACAAATCCATTAAAAGAAAGATTTTTTTTTAAGATGGCCTTTCTATAGTGTTATCACAATAAAAGAGACTCTTTAAAGCTGACTTTCCCTAAGTGCAGCCAACGTCTTGGCATTCAGAACGTTTTGCAGAGTAATGCTCTAATTTAGAGTCCTTTCAGTATCCTTTTAAATGACACAGAGTGCTACATCCAATTGGATCAAAAAGTGAAGCTTGTTGTTATGGAATACAATATGCAAGCAAAAGATCAGGCTGAAGTTGCTAATGATCTGCCTTACCTGGGAACCCTGAGCAGGAGAAGATAAAATTGATCTGCACTTGCTAACTTGGCTTCTTCTTCCTTGAAGCTTTTCAGGTTTTCTATCTAACAAGAAAACACAAGACTCAAGGCCCCAGAACTGCATCATATCTGCAGTCTTCGTGGATTGAATGAAAAGAGTCTTTCCATCTAACCTCATGTTTTTCGGGTAACAGCTTCAGTAACTGCTTCAGAACCTCCACGTCAAACTTGGTCCTGTCCCCTTTTTGAATCATGTCAGCTACCTCTTTGTTTGAGCTGCAGAGAACAGGCATGTAATTAGAAGCAACAACAGAACAATAACATTGGACAGCTCCCTATGACCATATGCTATTGATTAGGTCCTACAGACCCTAGTGAATGTTGCATAATTAGGCCTTACTGACAGGAAGACTGTTCTCTGGATTAGCGCAGTAGCCTGGCACTCAGAATTATAAAAAGGGTAGCATGCTGGTTTTAGATGGGGTGCACCCATTCACTTTCAGGGTACCATTAGAGAAAGGGATATGGGTATTTTTCTCATCCAAGTACTGATCACCCCGGGAGGCATCATTCCACCTTCGCCTGTGAGTATCAGTGCAGTGCATGGTTATATTGCAAGACCTGTTTGCTTTAAACAACCAGTTTATTTTAACAAGTTTTAAATGTTATCACTCGTGTCATTCACAGGCCTCCACTGAATTAAACTATCTGCAACTGCCCTGAAGGCTCAAACCTTACAGAATTCAGTTTGGTTTTATTTATTATCTTTACACTACTAGTTGGGAACACAAAAACCAAAGGTTACACATCAGGTACCTGTCCATATCTTTAGGCACCTAAAAATCTGGCCCTTTGTCCCTCTGTGCCTCAGTTTCCCTCTGTAAAATGGGGTATAAATAGCACTGCCCTTCCCTGCTGGGGTTTTGTGACAATAAATACATTAAATTTTTTAAAAAAATTTACAAGTCTATCTTCAGTAGATAGCTATAATAAACTGAAGATAAGAGGGACTGATAATGTAGGAGTAAGTGGCCACTGTCTCAAATAAAATTACTATTTTCCCCTCTTGTGTTTACCTTCCATCATTTTTCACACCGTGGAACATAACCGAGATGCTTTAAAATCAGTAACTGTGGACATGAATAGATATGTAATTACAGAAAATATAGAAAAATTATAAATAGATGAGATTGAACTAGCTGTCTTCCTTGTTTGTATTTAGGTATGTCATTTTATAGTCACTCCTTGGATGGTCAGTCACTTGCTCTATGTCTTAGAATCCAGGATGTGTTTGAACTGTGGGAAATATACTGCCCTGTGTCGTCCTTTCATTTTAAATCTCAAATACAATCTTTATTGTATTGTCTCTCACTACAAAAATTTAGGGTGTCATCCTGCAAATAATTCCAACAGTGAATAGTCCCACTGAACTCTGCTGCTGTGAATAAAATTACTCGTTTGTAATTATTTGTATGACCAGGCCCTGGATGTCCTCAGAGGAAGAATGGCCAAGTGGCTCAGGGATTAACCGGGGTCTTAGGAGTCATATGGATTTTTCAGCCCCTCACAGAACTGTCTGCTACAAAGGCCATGCTAATTTTACTTGCCAAACTGTTGCTTTATTCAACAACTGTGAAACCAGTTCATAGCTTACCATCTAAATTGCTTCAAAAATATGTTCAGATTGAGACTCTTCTTGGAGTCTAAGAATGTGATCTGTTTAAGAAATAATACTTTATGTTAGATAAGCCATGTGCAGTGGCCTTTTACCATAATCTTCAAAAATTGAGAAATAGCCCATTACCTCCTTTGGTTCCACCTTCCCTGGGGTAGCTGCTTTCTCCTTGGGCTTTGTTTGCGGAAAACAAAAAAGCTGCTCAATGCTCATGTAATCCGGCTCTATAGCTTCATCGCTGCCGCTGCTCACTGACGCCCACATGGAGCGACTTTCTGAAAGAGACGAGGCACTAAGAATGCTACAGAGGCACATCAAGGTAATGCTCCTCACTACCACTGTTTCCAACCCTCCAGGATTGTCCTGGAGTCTCCAGGAATTAAAGATTAATCGTTAATTAAAGATTAGGTCATGTGATGAAACCCCCAGGAATACGTCCAACTAAAAGGGAAACACTGAGAAAGATGAATGCAATAAATAAGAAAAGAGACAGATTAGCCCTGGACCTGTGCTAATTAAGAGTGGCTTCTCCCACAGACAGGATCCCAAAGGTTTGAAGGTGAATTAAACCCGGAAATCTACAGCCGTCCGCGATTTAGCCAAGCTGAAGGCAGCAGCCGAGCTAAATGGGATTTACTAACTTCTGTTTGATCTAGCTGATAGGCTATGTATTGCAAAATCACAGGTGTCCACATGGGACACTGAGCTCGGGTTAGGTTATCATCTCTACAGAGATGCAAACAGCCCTACTACATAAGGGCTCCCGAAGGTCAGTAACACCGCCAGACTCATTAGGAACCCTCTAAATAACTCCTTGGCTCCCCAGTATGTGAAGCTATCCACAGTGTTAGTTATACTAGAGAGAATTCTGCTACATGCTGGAAGGGGAACCTTCATTTGTTTGGGGGCTAAATTGTGACTTTACACCAAAGCACTGTGATGAGGGCAAGATGCTTTTAGGAGCTACCAGGCATGGAGGGGCAGCACAGCCGTGTTCCTTAAAGGATACAGATGGTGTTCTCCTGTGTAGCTGGCTGGGTTAGAGTGATTTGGGGGGCTGTGGGGTGGGGGGGGGAGGCATGGCTCCGTGGCTAGCACCCAGCCCATCTCCTCGCATGCATGCACAGGCACCGGCCACAGTCTGGCCATTTTGCTTCTCTAGTCTCGTTTTCTGGCTATTGTCGCAATGAATTACTAAACGTGCAGTGATAGACACTGTGGGGTAACTAGTTCTGAAGACTGGACCATAGGTGCTGGAACTAGGGGTCCTGCAGCACCTCCTGGCTTGAAGTGGCTTCCATCATATACAGGGTTTACAGTTTGGTTCAATGGCTCTCAGCACCCCTGGACTGGAGCCAAAACCCAATGAAGCCAACGGGAGGACTCAGTGCTAGGGCACCTCAGGCTGTTTTGGGGAAGGGAGATATAAGGAAAACACTATTCACCCACCCCCAACCCAACAAAATCCAGTGGAAATGGATAGCGTAGGACACACTGGGGCAGCTATGCGTGTGTGCGTCTCGCTACAGCAGCTACAAAAACAATGACTGAGTGCAGCCATTAGACACACCTACCTCGCACCACATTGGAGGGCAGCTTCTGCCAGTTGAGTTTCTTCATTCTCAGGGTCGGAGTCTTCACCTTCTTGGGGAAAGGCCTGGCGTAGCCCAAAGCATAGTCAACGTGGGCAACCACTACTTCCTCCACATTGCCTCCTGGTGGGGGAGGAGGTGGCATGCCTCCCAGGCCGGACAGCGGGGGAGGAGGTGGAGGCATGCCTCCCAGGCCGGACAGCGGGGGAGGAGGTGGAGGCATGCCTCCCAGGACGGACAGCGGGGGAGGAGGCGGAGGCATGCCTCCCAGGCTGGGCAGTGGGGGAGGAGGCGGAGGCATGCCTCCCAGGCTGGGCAGTGGGGGAGGAGGCGGAGGCATGCCTCCCAGGCTGGGCAGTGGGGGAGGAGGCGGAGGCATGCCTCCCAGGCCGGGCAGTGGGGGAGGAGGCGGAGGCATGCCTCCTAGGCCGGGCAGTGGGGGAGGAGGTGGCATGCCTCCCAGGCCGGGCAGTGGGGGAGGAGGTGGAGGCATGCCTCCCAGGCCGGGCAGTGGGGGAGGAGGCGGAGGCATGCCTCCCAGGCTGGGCAGTGGGGGAGGAGGCGGAGGCATGCCTCCCAGGCTGGGCAGTGGGGGAGGAGGCGGAGGCATGCCTCCCAGGCTGGGCAGTGGGGGAGGAGGCGGAGGCATGACTCCCAGGCCGGGCAGTGGGGGACGAGGCGGAGGCATGACTCCCAGGCCGGGCAGTGGGGGAGGAGGCGGAGGCATGCCTCCCAGGCTGGGCAGTGGGGGAGGGGGAGGAGGGGCTGGCACAGGTGCCGTGCCGGGCAGTGGTGGGGGGGGAGGAGGAAAAGCAGAACTAGGCGGGAATATGCACTGCCCTGGTGAAGTGGAGCAGGCTGGTAGCTGGGAGGGTGAGACGTTCTCTGTGGCTCCTGGTGGCCCCGGTGGAGGTGCTGCTGTCACCGGAGGGAAGGCTGTCGTAGCAGAGCTCTGAGCTGCACTCAGGGACTCCCCTAAATCTGTGTCAGTCTGAGTGCTTTCGCTCACTCTCTCAGCTGATAGCTTTCGCTCTAAGTTTTGTTGGTTTGGGCACTTCTTTATGGATAACAGTCTCTCCAGGACTTCTTCAATGCTGTTCCCTTGGACTGTAACAATCAGGTGAGGGGAAAACAAATGTAAACTAAACATTATTAAAGACTATCCAGATCCCTTTTTGAGCAACTGATCAGCAGCGACATGAGCATCCCACAGGTTTCGTCGGTTATGTTACAGAAACCTCTGGAACTGATCTCTGCCGCAGCGAGCTTTTCCCACTGAGCTCGCCACAGGAGCTGGGTCTCACATGTTAACAACACCTTTGTGTATGTAAATGGTGCTGCCCTGCCCAGCAATGAAGGCCAGATCCAATACCACCTGCAATCAATAGAAAGGTTTCAGAGTAGCAGCCGTGTTAGTCTGTATTCGCAAAAATAAAAGGAGGACTTGTGGCACCTTAGAGACTAACAAATTTATTTGAGCATAAGCTTTCATGAGCTACAGCTCACTTCATTGGATGTAGCTCACGAAAGCTTATGCTCAAATAAATTTGTTAGTCTCTAAGGTGCCACAAGTCCTCCTTTTCTTTAATCAATAGAAAGGCTCCCATTGACTTCAACAGGTTTTGGATCAGAATAAACCCTGGGATTCGTTTGTAGAGACAAGGACTTACTCTACTCTGCAATGTTTTGCCAGTGGAGCTACGTCAGCTGGGAGAGTGAAAA